AAAAAAATTGTTCTCTGTTGCCGACGGTGCTTGCAGCGTTGGCCGGCATGCAGTAGCGCGCGAGTGCTGCCGTGGTTGCTGTGCGGTGTTGTATAGCACGTAGCGACAATGGACTAGGGTTTGCTTTCATTTTGGGTGAATTTGGGAGGGGTGGAGGCGAAGGCATGTGATGGAAATTAGATAATTTAAGGTCCTAGTTTACAATTTCAAATTAGGGTTAGGGTTGTAATTTTTAAAATGTATTTTGAATAATTCAGTCCCTTAAGGTTAAAATTCATCCAAATTTGGCCTTTAAAGTTTTGAGTTTAATGATTCGGTCCCTGAAGTTTAAAAGATTAATTAATTTGGGTCATTAAAGTTTTGAATTTTGCAATTAAGCCCCTGTTTGGTACACATTAAAATTTTCATTCTCATTCTTCTACTCATTTTCAACCACACATTTTTCAATAAAATAATACTTTTCATCACATCAATAATTTTTTCTTCTTTTTCAACCACACATTTTCCATCATATCACTATTCAAAATTAATTCTTCCCTCAAATATCCCTACCAAACAAGCTCTATATGATAAAAGTAAATGAATACAATATGTATTAACTAACATTAATATAACTTCTCATGAAATCTACTTATTTTTCTCGAAATTCGTGTCAAATTGAAAAAAATTGGTTCATTTTCATTGAAGGTATAATAGATAATTTGATACCAAATTCGACCATTTTTGTAAGAATTATCAAAATTAGTCATTTTTTAAATGACGAGTTCGCCATTTTTGTAAATTTAGATGGATGCCAAACGCATGTAAGGTCAAACCTTCCTGTAAAAATCTCTCTGTCTGGAAGATTCATCAGCCATGAAACTTTTCTTCAAGACCCATCAAATAATACTTCTATTAATCACAATCCATGCCATTTCACATCCAAAAGTACAATCCTTAAAAGCACCCTTTGATCCCAGAGACATACTGCCATTGCTACCAAGACAAGTGTCATGGCATATTCTGAATACTCTCAACAGTGCAGAGGACCTCTTGCCCTCTTTTGTGGGCACTGCCACTGCAGTCGAGAATTCTTTACAGTGGAAAGGTGCTTGCTTTTACAATAACAGTGCTTGGTTGGAGTTTCATAATAAAAGTAAAACTGAATTTGGTGGTGGCACTCTCCATATCAAGGTCTGATTACTGGTTTTCTTAATTTTATTCTTTATTTGCATTTTAAATTTTTTTTTTTTGTTGGGGGTGCATTTGGTGTATTGGTTATTGTTAGATATTGTTATCTAAATTGATCTGGTTTGGATTATTTATGGAAATTGTTCAAGTATTCGATTGTTGTAGTATAGGCAATCTGGATGTTAATTAACTTTGTTTGTGTCTTTGTGAGGTTGAATGGATTTTCTTGAGGGACTTTTAATAATGTAAGATCTGCAATTTTTTATGTTTTCAATGAGTAATTGCTTGTTTGAATATGCCATTGTTATGTAAGGGGGTTGGGCGTATCGGTGACTGTAAAGTTTTGTCATCTAAATTAACGTATTGAGATGTTTTTTCAAGAAAGAAAAGAAAATTTCTATCAAAATCCTGAGTGTGGCATATTATTCGGCATAGTGTTTTAGATTTCAGTTGATTGTGATCGAAGCTGAGGCCCGGATTCTGGATAAAGATGGAAACCATAACTGTACTTGGTTGGAACTGATTGCTTTAATAAGACTTTTCTTTGACTTGGCCGATTCTGGTTTGCTAATGTAAGGCCGTGGGTTTATAAGATTACCGCTATATCTGATAGCTTTGGTGGTTTTCTTTTTGTTTCGACTTTTAGTTAGTGAATTTGTTCTATTACATTAGTTTCATGAATATATTTTTCCCTCTGTTGTTTTTCATTAGATGTTATAGGTGTTAAGGTTCCAATTCCAAATTATATCTTTAAGTTATTGAAATTTGTTGTCTAGCACCCCTTTAAGATGGATTAAATTGAAATTTTGTTCGGCGTTGTTGATCTTTGTCTAGTGCTACAAATGGCAGTATCTCCGAGAAAAAATGATGGAACTTCTGCAAAAATTTTCTTTCTGCCCCTCTCTGTCACAGAAACGCTAGAAAGACACGTCTTCTCCTAGTCTCTATTGATCTTCTGTACAAGTTTATTGGGGAAACGAGGCATGAAAGAAGTGGTTTGATGAGATTTAGTTAATATTTGTACCACATCTTTCATTATTTACTTATTTCATTCTTTGGTGTATTCAGGTTAGCAATGCTCATAGTTGGACATGCATGGATCTTTATCTCTTTGCAACTCCTTATCGTGTAACCTGGGATTATTATTTTTTATCTCGTGAGCACACCCTCGAATTTAAAGAGTGGCATTCAAAATCTGAATACGAATACGTGAGTTAAAAAATCTTAATCAGAGTTATACGTATATATGTCGAAGTATGACAACTGAATAATGATTAACCTATATAACAACAGGTGAAAAACAAGGGTATTTCAATTTTCCTCTTGCAAGCAGGATTGCTAGGAACTCTTCGATCATTGTGGGAAGTATTCCCTTTATTCACAAACAGTAATTGGGGTGAGAACTCGAATGTTGCATTTCTTCAAAAGCACATGGGGGCTACCTTTGAAGAACGTCCTAAGCCATGGGTCACAAACATTAGTGCTGATGATTTACACTCTGGAGATTTCCTAGTTTTATCAAAAATTCGGGGTCTTTGGGGTGGTTTTGAGACTCTAGAGAAATGGGTGACTGGATCTTATGCTGGTCATGCTGCTGTTTGCTTAAGGGACTCTGAAGGAAAGCTATGGGTTGGAGAATCAGGACATGATAATGAGCAGGTAATACCTTAAGAGCTTGTTTGGGAATGATTAAAATCCAATTAAAATTGAAAATATAACCGTTATTGGGTCCCACTCGTCTAATAAAAGTCAACTCCAACGACTATATTTTCAATTTTAATATAATTTTAATCCCTCACAAACAAGCTCTAAATTTGCCCAAAATATGGCATGCATTAATTGCTGTTAAAGCATGTTTGGCTTAGACTGAAAAAGGGTAAATACATTTGTTCTCCAAAAAAATGACTTTTAAAAAAGCTCAAACGTGTTAAGCAAAAAACGTTACATGAGTAACTCTTTTAGGCTTAACCTAACATGCTCTTAGTAATGAAGCTCATTTCTCTTAAACTTGTTGAATTTGCTCAACTTATGCCCGACTCTCCTACATTGCAACTTTTGGCACTTAACATGTTCAATGAACTCTGAGAGATAATGACACTTCTTTTATCCATAACATTACCTTTTCAGAATACTTTGAGTGTGTGCTAATATAATACATGATATCTTGTTAAGTAACCATTTGTTAAATTCAATGAATGGCCTTCTCAAATGATGTTTCAATTTGGATAATCAATTTAGTGATTCATGATACAAATGTTCCTATGTTCATAAGAGGAAAATGGCAAGCAAGGAGTCAGTGCTAGAATTGAAGCTCACTATTTTTTCTAACACAGAAGCAGCAAAATGAAAGGAGAGAGCAACATTGCGTGCCAACTCATAGAGGTTCACTTTCTTTGCTGGTCTATAATGAAGATGCTGATAAGATGAAAATTAAGTTTAACAAATAAGTGTGTCCCCTCTTTGAAAGCATAAGCTTTTAGATCTGTGGTTCAACTTACAGTTAATAATTTGTAGTTAAATATTGAACCCAATAATGATGGAATAACTTGTATGTATTTTTTGGGAACTTGAATTTTTGAGAATTTCAAAGGTTATTGTTTGTATAGTGGTGGCTTATAAAAGCATCTTCAATAGACTATTTATTTATAAAGAGCATCTTTAAATTTAAAGAGTCAAAATTTTTATACACTTTCAACAAGCTCTTTATTTTGGTTCTTCATTTTGCTTCTCTCAAGAAACATTTATTGATTTCTCTTCATATTTTATTTAACATAATTTTTTATATGTTAATTGATTAATCAATTTAAATGTGATTTGAATAGTTTAAAAAGTAAAGTATTGAAATATGTGATTTGTTAAATGCAATCATTGTATATTACGAATAGACAAACTCGCTCTTTATTTTAAAAAGTTAAAATAGAGTCTATTGCAGCTCATTTTTTAGTCTTGACCCTCTAAAATAAAATGCATTTTGTATTTAGAGAGTTTCTTGGAAATGCTCTAATTCTTTATATTTAAATTAATCTCGTGGGGGGTAACATCTAATTCTTTTGGCATATATGTCTGATCGTTTTTTAATTTCATATTTGTAATATAGGGAGAGGATATTATTGCTATTATGACATGGGAGGAATGGTGGGAATATGAGCTGACAAAAGATAATGCCAATCCGCATATTGCATTGCTTCCTTTGCATCCAGACCTCCGGGCCAAGTTCAATGAAACTGCTGCCTGGGAGTATGCTCGGAGCATGGAAGGACTACCTTATGGTTACCATAACTTGATATTTAGCTGGATAGACACGATTAATGGAAATTATCCATATCCCTTGGATGCTCACCTGGTATTGCATTTACTTGTCTTAAATAGTTTGCGTTAGTGCTGATACCAGCTTTCTCTGCAGCTCCCACTTGTTCAGGATTCTCCATTTTCTGAGATTTTCTCCCATTTCATTTGACTTAAGGCCATTTTACAGGTTGCTTCTGTCATGACTGTTTGGACACAGTTCCAGCCTGCATATGCTGGTAAGATATGGAATGAAGCATTGAACAAGCGGCTCGGGACTCAGGTTATATTCATTTCCGTTTATTCATTCAAATGTGTACCAATATTAAAACACATATTTAAGGGATAAATCGTAGGAGAGGAAGTAGATCATAATACTGTAAAGGGACCTTGCCATATTTAGTGGATCAATTGTTGTATAGACTTCAGTATAAGTTCACAGCAATATATTAAACAATGGTTCATTGTGTTTGCAGAACCTTAGTCTTTCTGAAATTCTTGTAGAAGTTGAGAAGCGTGGATCATCTTTTGGTGAACTGTTGGCAGTCCCGGAACAGGACAATTGGGTTTATGTTGATGGGAAGTCAACATCATGTATTGCTTTTGTCTTTGAAATGTACAAGGAAGCAGGACTTTTTGGTTCACTTGCAAGCTCGATTCAAGTTACTGAGTTCACGGTAAGTATGCCAGAATTGAAGAAAGTCATGTTACTGATGTTTCCCTTGCGCTGGCTGTGTTTAAAATTACTGCTCTAGAACGTGAAGACTTACTTTCAGGAAAAGTAAGTTTTATTAGTACAAAATATAACTTTGATAATCAGGTTTGCAAAAGTAACTTTTTAAACACAGCCACACATGCCGAGTTTTACATGAAATAAGCTGTCCAAGTACTTTGAAAACATCAAAAGTTATAAGTGGTAAGGTAGATTTATACTGAAAGAGGTAATGCTATGTTATTTGAACAGAAATATCATAACAAGGATTCTACAAATATTTTGCAGTTTAATCCATTTATTTTGACAACTGCAGATAAAAGATGCTTACACGCTAAAATTTTTCGAAAACAATTCAAGCCTGTTGCCTAAATGGTGCAATGACGCAGACACGGTGAAGCTTCCATTTTGTCAAATCCGAGGGAGATACCGGATGGAACTACCTGGATACAATACCATGGATCCGTACCCACACATGAATGAAAGGTGCCCGTCTTTGCCACCAAAATATTCCAGACCTGCAGGTTGCTGATTAGTCATGTAGCCCTAATTTTTTTTTTTTTTTTGGTTTTCATGCCCAAAATACTATTTAAGTTTTAGCTTGTACATAATTTTCTTCTGTATACAACTTGTACATTTAAGGAAACAAGGCTTTGTTTGTTGTTATGTATGGAACTCGTATATTCCGATGGGTTAACATGTAACATTAAAGAAGCTTGATAAGCTTGATGTTGGTTACTAATTGAAGTAAAATGTGGCTCTGTGGGACGAAAACAGCATGAATACAATGCGCGTAGAAATTTGATTTAGCATTAGATTTTAATATCTTGTTCTGGCATTTGAAGCAATTTTCTTTTGTGTGTGTGATCTTGTATTTTGGATCAGTTGGGCCAGGTCAAGAGCTGTTTGGCTGTGCTTAAAAGTGATTTTGAACAGATTTGTTTGACATTATATCTAAGTGAACTGATGTTAAATGCATTCATCTGAAATTAAGATAAAAGCAATATCTTTCCAGTAGGCAGGAACAGTAAAACCAACAGCAGGTTTCTTGATTCATAAGATACGATCCTTGTTAAAATCTGAACCAAGTTACAACAGTTTTTTTGGGCTTATTTGGTTCGGAATTCCTTGAGCAGGTACTGGAACTGGATCCCTTCTCATGGAGTTGTCATCACAGCATTATTTCCATGTAAATTAAGTAATCAGATAATGAATTGTGACTAGAGTTTCCATCCGTGCAAACTCATAACCTGGACAAATACAAGGCCCCCCTCCAAATGGAATATAGCTATAAGGTGGTATGAATGCCTGATTTTCAAATCGCGAAGGTTCGAATTTTGAAGGTTCTTGAAATATTTTGTCGTTCATGTGAGTCATGTTGGTAACCCAAAATACCTGGTTTTCAATAAGAAGGTTGTGAGTTCTAAGCTTTGCTTATTACATAGAAATTTTCTGCAGTTACAACAATGACAAGTTAGGTTTTATTCCAGTAAATCTGAGGTCAACTTGTGTTCATTGGTAAATCTACCAGATGATTTAAATCAACTAAATTTTTAGCAACTACGACAAAATCGTGTTACTTTTGGTCTATCCCTCCCTCTTGTGACTTCTTGTACCGAGATCACATTAGGAGCCTTTATAAGCAAAATATGTCTCAACTACCTAAGAGGTATTTAGGATTCAAGATGTAAGATTTGATAAGAGATTGACAATGACTTGGCACCTACCGCAACTCTTCTTCTTTACTTGGTCTTGGAATCACCTGTGAAAAAAATAGCAGATTTCTATATTGTACTCCTATGATGTAAACAAATTCATAGAAGGGTCACAGAATTTCTCTTACTTGCCATCCTTTTGGAATGAGGTATCCTTCATACTCGATGTCTTTTAATGTCTTTTTGAATCCTCCAAAAATTGGAGGAATCATTCTCAGAGTCTCCACTGCCACTCTTCAAGTGTACTTCATCTTGGCAAGATCTTCCCATGTCAAAAACTTTGCAGAGGGGCTTGCTCCTTTTGATCTCCTCTTGTTCTGCAAATCCCGAAAAACAAATGGCTGAAATCAATTTTATCAAATTAATGGGAAAAATGGACATGAATTCTATACCAGACACATACCTTTCAGAACAGCTGCATATATAGCTGGGTCATTTGCTAAAAGTCGCACGACAAAAGTAATCAGGTCGGCTGAAGTGTCATGCCCCACAACCATAATGAGCATGACATTGTGTATAATCTCGTCTTCTGATACCAATTCTCTGTCATCTTCTCCATGAATGCTGAGTAAGCTGGTAATGAGGTCTTGATGAGAAGAAGCTCCATTTTCCAGTTCAACACGTTTCTCACGTACAAGGTTTTTCAACATCTTCTGGACCTTTGCACTGGCCTTGAGGCTTTGGCTGAAGTGTGTGAATGGAAAATTAACGGGGATTGACCACAATCCTCCTAGAATCTCTTCGAAATACTGAATCAATTTATCTCTTTGTGCTCCTCGTTCAACACAAGAAGAGAGCATATTATGTTGAACGTGAGTGTCTTGATCATTGGTAAAACCTAGGAAGGGCAACCATTACACAGTTTATTATCCATACAAAGGATCTCATAATATACTCTTCTTTTATTAATCTAAAATCACATAATAGTATAACATGCTTGGCTAAGCTTATAAATCTAACTCATAAGAATATTTTTAACATTGGACCTATTTGGTAAGGTTTCTGTTTTTTGTAGAACAACTTCTTGAGAAAGTTACAATAGTCAGCTTCCTTTAAAAGCTCTTCTAACGAGACAAATTTTTTTTAGAAAACTTATCCGAACTTGTTCAAAAGTAGCTTTTGGTTTTTCAAAAGCCCTACCAAAAGGAAGATTAATGAAAATAGTATAATTTCCATCGATATTATTTCTTTCTATTTTCACCGTAACATTTTTCTTTCCATTCCAATGCATCTCAAGGTGCCTCCTAACCTCATCTTCAATGTTTCCAATATAGAGCTTATTCAATTATTCCGGTTTGAGAAATTAAGCAAGAACACTTCGTTCTCGCTTATGATCTTCACCACTGAGTTCCAACAGGCACCTGTTCCCCAGAATCATTTTAATTGACTCGGTCTGGTAGTTATTCATTATACTGTGATCACTAGTGAAGACAAACTTGTTAGCAGCCTGTCCATGGATAAAAACTGCTGGTTTTCCAAAGAGACTTAGCTTGGGGATTGGACCGTATCTTTTCGCTCTTTCGGCCATCCATCTATCAGCAGTATTGGCCCTCATTGCCCACAGAAGGCTAAGGCTTTGTCCAATGATTGGTATCCCTAGAGATCCGGGGGAGGGGGGGGGAGGGCGGGCGGGCTTTTTAATGATGTTCTTCTCCTTACTAGGAGAAAGAAGATAGGTAAAAGAAATAAAGAGAGAGCAACAAAGAAATTAATAGTTTACAGAGACAAAGAAATCGAGAAAGGGCACAGAAGATATTCCTGGTAGCATTTATAATAGAGTTAGAGATTGGTCAACTTATAATTTGTTTGGAAGGTATAGTGTCAATGGTCTTTCTGTAACACTTTATATTCCTTCAACTTGATGAAAACAAATAATTTATTGCATAAATGAATGTTTATAAGAGTTTTTAATGATGATATCATGGTAATGTTGAAACGGTGCTCCTGTAAGTTTAGATGCATCTGCTTGTTTTATCTACCTGATATTATTTTTACATAATGTTCAAGAAACTTGATTCTTGGACTGTAGATTAACCTTTTCTAGCTTTTTTTCTCTTCTACTTTACGTTATATTTTATTTTCCCCAGCGGTCTTAAGACTTTACGTAGACCTCTATTTTTTGTAAATAGATGCTTGGAGTTAGTCACTGCAAGCCCCTTAGTAAGGAGACACACCCTTTCTCCCAAAGTTATAGGTCTATTTTTCCGAGTCCCTTAAAGAAAGTTGTATGTACAAATATTCTCCGGATAGTATTGTATGCAGAAAGCAAAAAGAAAATGCTATACTTCAATATCAACAAGTCCACTTGAACCAATGAAATTTTGCAGTTACAGTCCACATTTTAACCATAACTCAACAATTATTAACCTTTACATATTCAATGTGCAATCATCGTTTGCAAGAAATAGGTAGTTATCAGAAAAGTATAATCAAATACTTTTAAGGTTTAGATCATTCAAAAAACTCCTAGCTTGTTTCTTTTTAGTTATAACAGCTCAATTAAAATATTGTATAGCTCAAACTAACATGCCCAAAAATCCGCTATATAACACCTTTCTTTGATGATAATATTAGCATACTTGACAATTGAAACAGGTTCTAGTCATTATCTTCTAAGACATGGTAACAGATAAAACGTTCACCGAAACATACACCGAACTTGGATACAGATATACAAATAACCCGGATTATCATGACATTTAAGTGTCAGCACAAGCAGTTGCATGCAGAATATTAAGAATGCCAATATACTAGCTATATATTTACTATGCCTCAGGAAACAGGCGTTGTTATCCATCAGTTTTAGGGTTCACTGGGTATTTTTCTTTGCTCATGGCTCTTTTCAGCAAGGCACTGTGATCCAATCAGAGATGTTAACCAGACTTGGTCGGACCTCACTTGTTCATCATCATCATTCCTATGCCAACTCCAAAGTGCATGAGTCGAGTTCATGATCTTGAGCTCGCCATGACCGAAGCTTGCTTCACGGAAGATTGACCATTCAGGCTCGGGTTCTCTGTACCTGTCAATAATTTGACAAGACTACTTAGATCCCATAAACAGTGCGTTGAGGATGATAGAATAACTACCAGTCTACCATACAGGGCCTCTATAACCAAAATTTATAATGAGGAAACTATCTACAACAAAGATGGGTAAAGCTGCCAATTACAAAGAGAGTAGGTCAGTAGAAAGGTAAGGGGAAGTAATATGGATTAAACCTTAATCCCTAACTTCAAGAGCATTAATAAATGAAAAAGTAAATCATAAACTAACAAGAACACATAGGTTTATAGTGGTTTGCTCCAAGGTGTGAGCTATGTAAACTCGTCCCGCAGACTTTTCACTATAATGAAGGAGATTACAATGTTTTCTCCCACATCTGTCTAATCTCACACAGAAAATGGCCCTCTTTCAATGTAGAGTTTGAGCCACATTATTTTGGAAGAATGTATTTTGAAATAATAGATTGATGGAGAATGTGTGGTTGAAAAAGAAGGAAAAGTTATTGATGTGAGGAAAAATATTATTTTATCGAAGAATGTATGGTTGAAAATGAGTAGAAAAATGAAAATGAAAATTCTAATGTGTGTCAAACAGGGGCTAGGTAGATCTGCGGTCAAGGGATAAGTGAACAATATAATTAGGCTTTGCATAGTCCATTAGGAAGATGGACATAGTTGAAACTCACTCGAGGCAAGTCTATCGTCTGACAGTTTCATTTCCATTGCAGATACACACAGCATAGAGAACAAAGAATTTAATGTCTTCCAGTTTATTTAACATTACCTTCTTTTAGTTATTGAAATGGGTATACATCTTATCAAGAGAAGACTTACTTGTGTGCTAAACCTTCTCTGTTTCCTCCATCACCAATAGTTATGTGGACAGGTCCACAAGGATCCAATTTGCCATTGTAAACACGTTTCTATTACAGAAGTAACAGATATAAATTGGTAACGTTCCGAAAGATAAAACTAATGCAAGAACGTTAGAAACAAAACTAGTACATAATACCATACCGAGCGTTCATATGCATGAACATGGCCAGCGAAAACAATATCCACTCCAGCAGCATAAAGCAATGGCTCCATGGCAACCATCATGTCATCGCCTTCACCTTGATGAGCGTTGTTACTGTTATACCATGGCACATGGAATAGAACAAGAAGCCAAGGTGTCCTTTCACGATCCACATTCAAAAGATCGGCCTACAATTCAAGATCCAAGCTGGCTTTTATTGATATCTTCAATGCGAAAAATCAAGTGTAAAAATTGATCCTTCATGAGTAATCAAATGCAACTTTCTTTGACAGTGAAAAAAGTGTTTTAATTCACTGGATAGAATGTTCTTCAGTGGAACCTTGAAATTGGTGCGTATGGACAAAAAAGACTTTGTATGTTTTTATTGTTCATATTGTCTCAATTAGTTGGACTTGTAAGGAAAAAATCACTAAAGTCAAATCACACATCTACACAACAGGTCATGAGAGTCACTGCCACATAATTATAACTGTGGCATTCCCTAATTATATTTAAGCTATGAAGCTTAACTATTGTATTACGTTCTATGAAAATTAGCGCATACAAATGTTTCGATAATATGATTTCTTTCCAGAAAATATGGAAGTTAACTAACCTTCAGCCAGTTATATTGATCAGAGTACTTATCATAATCTGTATACGAACCAAGCATGATAGTATGAACTCCTGCCACTTCAAACGAATAATACAGATTTGAACTGGATCCACTCTCCTCATACGGCATCTTCCATCTGGAATTATAGGAGACAAACCCATCCTTCAAGATTGGTATGTTCTCCTTCTCATGATTACCTTGTGTCACCATCCAGGGTCTTGAACTCGCAAGTGGCTGCACCAGATCGCCAAATGTGTCCCATTTATGTTGCATGTAATCAGCGTACGAAAGGTCTCCTGGGAGCAAATGCACATCGTATTTACACTGTTCTATGTGGCCTAAAGTTGACTTCGTCCATTCAGTCTGACCCAAATCACCTGCAACAGAAAACGTAATTGGGAATTGAGATGGTGGGGTTTTGAGCTGGAATTCAGGATCTTCTCCCCCACATCGGTAAAAATACAAGGTGTCATCTTCCAGCGGCCCAATGACAGTATGATGTATCTTCCCCGAGCTGTACAGAAAATAACTATAACTGTTACTCTCTCCTTGAGCTTTGGAGCTGTAGTTTTTCGGTGATATACCGTACTCAACAATAGAAGGTGAAGATTTATCACTAGTAACCCATGTGACCCGAATGTGTTTATCCCCAGCAAAGGATATGTGAACCTGCAAATGACCATTTGTGAAACAGTTCAGAAAAATCAATCAGCCATGGTACCTAATCGAGCAACTCTGTCATACAAAATTCTTAGAATTTCTTTATTTTGAAGCATAAGACGCTCATATTGAACAAATCAATATTGATCTTGTAAAATAGACTAACAGAAACTCCAACATACTCACCATAGGACGATTTTCGAAACCAAATAAATCAAACTTTAATCTAGTCATTACAGGGTTTAGTCGAGCAATATTTCCTTAATTCTACAACTGCTAATGACTAAAATTCCTACACACCCCAATACCTTAAAATATTGCAAACCCGCATACTAAATATACTGCCTTTGAACACAATTAATCCACTCTCTTTCAAGAATTGAGCAATCAAGAGAAACCATAATTAATTAATCATTTGAAACCCCCGAAAACAAATAAAGTAAAAATAAAATAAAAAATCAAGAACAATGAATCTTAAGCAAAGTTCAATTCTTTTCCTTAACCTCTCTCGTAATATTAACAATTTATGAAACAAACAATTTTAAGAAACAATTTCCCTTTTTTTTTTCTAAAGCGAAAAATGGGCATATTACCTGTTGAGGGTGAGAGGAAGGCTTTGGATTCCATGGAAAATGAAGTGTTTTCCGAGGCGGTGGCCGGACATACTCTGCAGTGATGGCGGTGGCGGTGGCTAGTGCTAATACTAGTAGCACCACTATTATAAGCTTTTGTTCCATGATTTTTCCTCTTTGCGGGTACCCCGTGGAAACGGTACTATTTGTAGCTAAGAAAGAGATGCAGTGTGAAACAAGGAAATAATCAATTGTCTGTTTCGTATGATTCGATGAGTTTCGTTAACAGATTGTTGGCTTTTCCTGATTTAGCTGTTTAGCTTTTCGTTTCCGGACAAAACTATAAACAGCTCATGATCTATCCGGATAATGCGGAACCTTTTATAACTTTTCGTTATATCTTTTTGCAAGTTCAATGAACTTTATCACGTCTCATCATTGTTCAATACTCATCGGGTGGATTGTTTGAATTGATGCTGACGCGGAAGACGGAATTATGACATGTCCAGTTAGACCCCCCTACTCAGCGCCATGTAATCGCCACGTCAGAAAACTCCCCTCTCCCTCTGACTCACCAGTCACCCCCTCCACCTTACAGTCTCCACTCTACAGCGACGAAGCCACCATGTCAACTACGGCACCACGATCTTCACCAAGCTTCTCTGCTCAAAAGCCACCATATGGAGTCTCAGGTTCCAAATTGCCATCCAATCTTCTAACAACTAAACCCAAAACGCTGCTGGAAAAACACCCACTTCGTACACCAACTCATTCAAAAACCCCCCCTTCAATTCAAGGAGAAAATCCTGTGCCTCGAAATCATGGCCGTGGACTCCGATCGAGCACTCTCCCAAATTTGTCTCGCCACACCGCTTCTTTGCATTACATCCACGAAATCATCACCTTCCTCCAGTCCAAATGCATCCATCAAAAGGATTTAGACAGAATCTTTGGCATGTGCCCCCAAATTCTAAATTCCACCTTTAAAGCTGACCTTAACCCAGTTTTCAATTTCATATCCTATGATTTAAAAGTCCCAAACTAGAATTTTAGAAAGGTGATAAAGAAATGTCCAGACTCTTAATTTCCAGTGTAAGAAACTAATCTTAAACCATCTTTATTCTATCTTCAACGATTAGGCTTCAAGGGTATTCATTGGCTTATCAAGATCCCATTTTGTTAGATTCCAGTGCGGAGAAGACGTTGATTCCTAAGCTGAATTATTTAGTATCCTTAGGATTTTCGAAAGAGGATGCTGTCGGAATGGTTTTAAGGTGTCCCTGATTGTTCACTTTCTAACGTCCCAATTTTCAATAAACACAAGGCGTTACTTAAGTCAGAATATCCTGTAAATAAGTATTCTCAATAAACACCAAAATATGTAAATACTTTTTTTTTTT